TTTGTTGTCTAGTAGTATTTTGAGTATCTTGTGTGTTCATCATTTGCAAGTTGTCTTGCAATATTTCCTGGGCCGGTGTTGACAGGTCCATAGAACCTTTGCCGCTTGTGGGTAAAGAGTTGTGGGAAGTGTTGTTTATTTGTCTCTTGTCTAGTAGTTGTTGCTCTGATAGAGCTTTCTAGTAAAATTTATTGTTTTATTGTATTTTCAGCTACGCTGGACAAGTTTACTTAGAGGCTCAGGGTAGGTTTAGTTAGTACTTTCTTGAGTTTTCTTTGTTTAGAGTTTTTTCTCTTTTGCTCCAGTTTTGGTAAAATTGATCTGTGGAAAGAGTATTTTAAAAAATTTGTGTTGCCCTACTAATTATTATTCACTGTTAAAGATTATTTATAAAGTAACTGTCTGTAAATTGGATATCTATTTTTCAGACAAACAAAATCTGACAAAAATTGACTGAAACTAATGCTAACCTAATGCTTGTAGAAAAATGATAGGATCTGCTGTAATTAATTGTCTATTGTTATACAAAATAATATAACTAGATAACAATTAGATCTTCGAAATGCAAGTTGGTAGTAATTATACAGTAATTAGTGCATACGCATAAAGTATATAATTATTAAATAGTCATTAGTATTAGTAATTGTTTAAACAATAGTTATAAAGGAAATAAAATATAAAGAGAAAAGAAAAAGGATAGTTAGTCTTTTAGTTAGTTTATAAGTAGTTACTTAGTTAGTTTGTTAGTTTATTAGATTAGTAGATAGTACTCTGGAAGTATCTATTGGACTTAATTGAAATAGAGAATGTTAGTTACTTTGTTGTAGACTTTAGACTACTTTCAGTATCTCATATAAATACTTTGTTCTTCTCTTTAATGCTTACAACCCTAAACTGAATTGGCTACATTGGTATGAAGTCTTTCTCTTGGTCATAATACTATAAATAAAATATCTGTGAAATGATTTTCTATGAAATAATACATATCCTACTAACCCAGTTGGGTAAAATATAGCTGTATTGTGATTATATTTATCTATTTAAGCTAATAAATTGTTTCTGATTCACCTGAAAAATTTTCAGATGACTAAAATATCCTTAGTTTTATTCGGTAAATTACTTAACTTCTCAGAAACTATATTGCTATCTCTTGATCTTTAGTTCGAAGACAGCGATATAATTTCTAGAGAGCTAGGTAATTTACTGAATAAAACAAGAGATATTTTGGTTATATGAAATTCTTCAGGTTCGTAGAAATAATGATAATAGCTATAAAATTTTGCAATAAAAGTTTTATTTGATTATAATCGCATTATACTTCTCATTTAATTAATTAATTTCATATTATTTATTAGTTAGTATAAGGATAGTTTATAATAATTAATTTCATATTATATTAATTAAACAATGTTTTTTCATAAATTATTAAATTATGTTAGTAATAATTCAAAATAAACCAAGATGATATACCTTATTTTTACATAAACAAAATGATTGGTAAAAATATACAGAACATTCGTGATAGTTGATAATTTATTATGAAAGGAAAAAACTATAAAATCTTGAGTAAGAAACTTTAAAACTGATGACATATTTTACCACTATACTACTAAATATTCCTACTTAAGAATAAAAATTATTAAACTATTTTAATTGAAGCTTTAATTTTTTAAACCCATCAAAATAAAAATCTCAACTACCTTCTTATTTGCAGTCATCTCTTTGATCCTTTTTGCTGGTTTGGTTAAGCCAGAAATGCTATTAGGCAATCCTATCAGTTTCGCACTCACCAATATTGAAGAAGTTTTTGATGAAGTGTAAAATGATGAATTTACTTGGGATGTGAGTAAATTTAATAAAAAAGTATGCATACACAAACCTTTATTATTGTTAAAATATAATATAAGATTGTATATATGGATAGTTCTCTTAACCTTATAATAAAGTAGCAAATTAAGATTAATAACCTGATTTTGAACTAGCACTGTTATAAAGTTGAATAATAGTTATTAGAAAATGCTATAAACTCAATTCACCCTTTTGCTAACTATAATTGATATATGAGTCTTTTTCTAAGAAATATACTTATAAGAAACTTTATAGTATTCAAATCATATTATTGGAGGTTAAAACTAGAACTGAATTATACATAATCTGTTACAAAATTATTTTAGTTTATTTAAATTAAATCAACTAAATTTCTTTGTATTAGTTTATTGATTAATTCAATTTTTTTCTTTTTTTTTAGAAAAGATTTAGTAGGTATTAAACAAAGGTTTGATAAACTCAACATTTCTGCTATCACAAAAACTGTAAGATTTAAGTTTTTTATTTCTTTTTTTAAATTATTTAGTATTATGATATATAATATTTTTTTGTTCTTTATATATTAAAAAATAGACATTAAAATTTGGTAAGGAAAAAGCAACTTTTAAGAGAGTAAAATTAGATCGTAAATGATTAACCCTTGGTGGATTGCATGACTTCAAAGGCAAATTATCTAATGACCCAATTTTGCTTTTGTTAGAAAATCTTAAATAAGCAATTTAGAGCTTACAATATGTCAACTATATATTCTTGATTGTAATTTGATATAGATATTCAGATATACTTGGTTATAATTTAATATAGATAATCTTGATTATTCATATTTTTTTTACTAAATGTTAATTTTTTTATATTAACAATCAAATAAATATATAATAAGGCAGCTGTGCAATACTACTACGCAAAAATAAGAACATAAAATTATGAATAGCTAGAGATCGTATATATAGGCAACTAGATTTTTATTTAATATCATTACTACTATGGTTTAACCACAAAATCCTGGCTAGAGGCTTGCAAATTAATAATTTTTAAGATCTAGCCTGGTTTGCATTTAATATAAAATTTTGTTGACTTGGCCTGGCTTAAATTATTTTAAATTTTAAATTTTAAAATAATTTAAATTTTTATTAAATATAATAAATTTATAAATTTTTAAATTTTAAAATAATTTAAATTTTTTATTAAATATAATAAATTTATAAATTATTAATATTTTATAAATTAGTTTAATAGACAATTTGTTAATTACTGAATTTTCTAAAGAAGATTTGCAAATTTTATAAATATATTTTACTATTGAGCTAAATGTAGAGTGCACTAGTTTAAATTTTTTATAAAGTAAATCATCTTTGGCTTCTAAACAAAGTTGTAGAGCTCACTGCATTTAATAGTAATAAAACAGTAAAATCAGCTTAGTAGTTTCTAAAATATTCTTCACTATTATATAAAATTTTTTTAAAGAAATTTTATATAAGGCTATACAAATAGAGCTAACAATTTGCAAAAATTACTAAAAATAGAAAGATTTGCAGAAAAAAGTTTAAAATAAGCAAGCTAATTACTATAAATAGTAAAGATTAACAAAAAAATAGTTTGAAATAATCAAACTAAAATTTTACCTGTTTATAGATTATTCAGGGTCCTATACAAACTTAATAAATTGGTTTTCATAATCTGGTCAGATCAAGTTTTACAAAATTCTTAAAAAAGTTTTTAACCATATTTACTATCTGGGTAATGTTTTTTAGAAGTTTATAAAAATTTTATATGCTTTTTATATATATATAAATTTTTTGAAAATAAAATTAAAAGACAGGTTGCCAGATTATTTTTTAAATTTTATATTATGAAAACTAAAAAATTAACTTTATATAGCCTAATAGTAAACTATTTTTAAAAATATTTCAGGAACTACTAGATAAATTTTATTGCTTTTACTAATATTAGATATATTTTAATAAGTTTTATAACTTTGTTTAGAAGCCTATAGCTAGAGTTGGGACTCTGAATATTCATGAATAAAATGAATATTCAATTAGGATATAAATATTCTGTTATACAAAATCTGTAAATAATTGTAAATTTTTTAAGAATATTCTGTATGAATTTTCTATATGAATATTTATATAAAGAAATATTATATTCATAACACTGTGTTAATATAATACCCTTATATTTTACTTAGGGTTAGGGTCTGGTATTAAGATAAATAGAGATTTTTTATTATATAATATATATTAGATATAAGGGCCCAATAGATCCTGATTTTAGTTTTCATGAGGTTTTCAAGAGTGCTGAATATTTTTACTTAGAGTACCTACACCTATTTATTTAGTACATTTCTGAGATATAGCATAAGGCTATTATTAACATGGTGTTATGAATATAATTTTCCTTATATAAATTTCTATATAAATATTCTATATGAATAATCTATTTGGATATTCATATAAATATCTGTATAAATACTCTGTGTGAATAATTTATATAAATATTTATATAAATATTTATATTAATATCTGTGTAAATATTGGTATAAATATCTGTAAATATTCTGTGTGAATATTGCAATTTTTGAATCTGTGCCCGGTTATGCATGTTGCCGATCACCATGTAAAATTCTTTAAAGTTCATTAATGTTAAGGTTAGCGTTTCGTATAAAGTTAAAAGCTAAGTGGTTTTGTAGTAAAATCACACAAAGAAAACTTTTTGTTAGTACACTAAAGGCGGTTTACTATACAGATTTTGAGAAAGAAGCGATTTTTGGCAAAACGAACGTTTGTTTTGATTGTGCTACGTTACACCTGATTCTCAAATCTGATTTGTAGATCATGCATAATCATGCATAACCGGGCACAGATTCAAAAATTGCTTTTCAATGCGCATAATCTGGGGTCTCTACTGTTAGACAATTGTATTGTCAAATAACCTGCTCCACTAACAAAAATTTTTGGGGCATTACAGTTTAGCTCATATGCATGAACTGCATATGATAGGTAAATACAATTGTAAGTGATTGACCAATTAGAAAAAAGTTAGCCTATAGGGTTGATGATAAATAGTGTTCCGCAAGATCCGATCCGGATCCGGTCATCCAGATCCATGATTTATAAGATCCGCCGAATCCGGATCCACATAAGGATTTGATCCAAAGATCTGTTTGGATCCGCTCATGCTGATTGGCTGTATTTAGTAGACTCTGATTTGTTAATTTAGTGATTGTGCCTATATAAAAGACATCCGGAGCTCAATGACATTCATATGATTGATTAATTTTTGTAGATCTACCTGTGATTTCCTGTAATAATTAATCAATAAAAAATGTATAATTTTTATCATTTTAATCCTACTAGAAAATGAAGAGAATTTCATGTAAAGAAGCTTATAAACTAATAAATACATGCAAAAGAATTGTTACATTTAGAAATAGATGATATGCATAAAGTATAGTATCACGGGCTAAAATGATAGATCTACGAAATTAGGCACAGCAAACCTGTGATCAAAATAATTAATTCAAGAAATACTGGTTTATCGGTTGAGGCTTATCGGCCGAATAAAGACAAAACAATAACCAACACGAAATCTGAAAAACAAGAAACATGTAAGAAGAAATAAAAGAAGACCGAGTATCAAGATTTAGATATAGTTGAAGTGGCTGTAAAAGTGAATAATTGTATTGAGCGAAGCAAAGCCTTTCTTTATTATAATAATGTTGCAAATTATCATTGTAAGCCCCTTAGCTTAGAAATAGTTCCCTTAAATTTGTTAATGATGTAATATGTGAGTCACCCTAAGCTCTTGAATCCTTTACATTCACTAAAGCTATAAAAACTCTAGCATTTCGCCCTTCTCATCACTGCTATCACTTTCTTCTTTAGGAGTATCCATAGCTGATCCAAGTAAATCAGCAGATTCAAGTTCAATTTTTTGTAAGTGGCGATCATAGAGTTCTATCCAGGAAAAGGTTTTATCTTTTGTAAGTTGTAGAATACTTATATGACAGACGTGTAGGAGGACTTTTATTTGGCAAAATTCTTCCCAGTCAGGTCTATTTCGTAATGGGGAAGGACGTGGCCAAATATGCACAATATTGTTTTTTGTACAATTTTGCCATTTCCTCCCAACATATTTATATTTTAAATACAATTGAAAGAGTAAAAGGTCTTTGAGGTCAGTAGATCGGGTCCAATATAATTGTAATGGCGAGCTTCCTGTTTTTATTACATTAGTTGTATCATTGTTATTATTGCTGCTATTATAACTATTATAAACACATCGTAAAGCTTCCTTATTAAGATTTAAGGTCACAAATCTCCGACTACAATGATATAAAGGAATACCAAGTAGAAGGTGACAGGTTTCTTGAGCTGAGAAGTCACGCTCAGCTACTGTATGAAGAAAAAATTTTTGAAATGATTTGACAGATGGGTCATTGGGTTTACTTTGATAAAGAATATTATCTAATATTTCTGAAAATGACGTTGAACGGGACTCAGCCTTACTTGTATACTTTGATATATATTTTAGTACAGCATAGGTAGTAAGTATAGGTTTTAAATCTACATTCGCTCTCCATCCTTGGAGCTGAATATGATCATGCGAATTTATATAAGGATCATTTCTGGCTGTTAGTAATTCTGGTTGACCACGGTCATTATTTTGTATAATTGTTTGTTCTCTTAATTCTTTGGGAAATCCAAATCTACAAATTTGTTGATTTGTTTTCTTATCAATTTTTAAACAATGTGATGTACTGCATCGTGTATGCCGTTGAAGTTTATTGACTAATTCGTTATAGTCTTGTAAATCATCATTAAGGACTTCTATACGTTTTTGACATGGATGTTTATCTGGCATAGGTAAGTCTATATTTGGGTTAATAGTAGTCACTAAGGAGTCCATATATTGTAAAATGTTTTGCATTAGGTTCTCATCAGTTTTTATTTTGTTCTATTTAAGTATTGGGGCACCCGCTTTAATTCCAATTCCATGAATATGTGGACTACCTCGATGTTGCCATTCGAAGCGGAACCACCAATCTACTAAGTTCTATTTAGGAACCAAGACTTTTTCAAAGAAGACATTAAACCTTTTATCAAAAAACCACGCAGATATATGTGGATTATTTATTAGGTCTTGGTATCGATGCTTAGCAGCTTCCTTTTCATTTTTACTCTCTGTTGAATTTTCACTATATGGTATGAGGTCATGTAATTCAGGCCAATGTAAGTCAGCCAAACTAAAAGTAAAAAATATCATCCCTTAAGATCCTAATTGGCATATCATATCTGATAATTCACAGCTGTGTCGTGACCAATATTGTCGTGTTCCACGTAATACTTCTCCATATCGTATCACATGATTTGCAAACTTACTGTTAGACTGCAATAACTTCTGAATTTCTGTAGCTGATAGTTGACTTTCTTCTAAGTTCTGTCAAACATATACTCGCCCAGTTTGCAATGCATACTATCGCATTTGAGAATTCAGAGCAAAATAACGCCAACGTGGGTGGCGAGCAAAGCGACCATCTTTATATTTTAGAAGA